CCTGAAGCCTCCCGAGCGGCGGGAAGCAGCTGGCGCCATGTTGGGACCCTCAGAAAGCGGCCGAGGCTTCACCCCCAGTCGGCGACCCGCCCTCCATGGCCCCGTCCTGAAATACAGTGGGGTAAATCCTCCACTTCCACCCACCCCGGCCTGCACAAGGGGAGAGACGCGCCTTCCTCTCCCCCAGCGACCACCCCCCTCACAGGTAGCAGCTCCAGACTGGAAGGGGAATCACTTCCACCAGCCATCAGCTGCTGCGTGTTTAAAACCTTCCCAGGACAAAGGAGGCTTCAAGATTCTACCAGATGAAAGGAACACGGGAGTCCGGCCCAGTAAAGTAGGCAGGTGGAGTGTTTCAGTTGTATTTTACTCTTCAGATATAGTTCATTTGAATGTTCATATTACAAAATTAGCTGCCATGGCCCACAAATCTATGGGACTTCAGGAAAGCTGTCCACTTACTCAAAATTTTCCTTTCAAAGAACTTCGTGAAACAACACCATATTAATCTTTAAAGCTAAATAGTGCTAAAATTTCACATAATCTACATTAGTTTTGGTTTTAATTTTACCAACCATTATAAAATTAATGTATTTGCATGTATCAGGTTACAGATATTTGCATTTAAATCAGTGTGAAGTATCCCATGCTGGAACAAGAAGTTGAAGTACTTGCTGTTACAACAGCAGCTCATTCTTATTGCCTCAGAACCAAGTTTGCACAAAGTATTGAACAAGAAAATGCAAGACATTTTTCCCCAACAACACTGTTAAAAGTCTGTTACAAGCAACAATAAAACGCCTTCTAGACAGGAAGCATTTATAAAATGCAGAGCGCTCTCAGTGAGCGAAGTGCTTGCACAGGAGCATTCACTTCATTCTCCCCATTTATATTAAAAAACCTGAAGCGATCCTTTACCAGATGAAGACGATACTTGTCCTCGGAAATGTTTTTACTTGCTTAGGGAAACTGGCAATTGCAGGTACTTCACTGAGTGTAACTTCTGGCTGAAGTGAACTAGGCAGCCGCTGCTGAGATCAGGAGGAAAATTTTGGAGGCAAACCTGTACAGTTAAAAATACTCAAGGAAAGCTAGTTTAAGCTGCTAACTCACCATGCACTCGCTCCTGAAGAAACACCACGCTGACATTACAGACTTCACATTGTATTAAGCTTGCAGCATTCAAAACCACAAGTAGGAAACTGTTCATATATTCCATTCCCTTGTATCCAACCCCTTTATGTTTTCCATTATGTCAGTCATGACCACAGGTGACCTAATACTGTTTCGGTCCCTGGTTTGTATAAAAGAAAATAAAAATCACTTCTACTCTACTGGGCTTAAATCCCTGAAGAATCCATACTGTGTATGGAAGGCTCTAAGTTTTGTGCCTTTATGAGCTTGATGCAAATAAATGCACAGTAAATGCTTATTGTGCAGTTTTCCTCCCCTTAAGTTTTTTTCCCCTTCCCTCCCAATAATTAAAACCAAAGTTTAAAACCAAAGCATTAATGTTACCAGCACACGTGGACATTTTTACAATCTTCTGTTTTCAAAGAACAAATGACAAAGAGCATTCAAGAATATTGCATTTTTTTTTAAACAGACAAGTAGCAAAAATTTATACCACCTGGAATAAAACTGCCGAGACAAAGCTCTCTACATACACCTGCATGTTGCTGTAATACTTAAATAGGTAACACCAATGCAAGGAGCATTTCTCTTAATGGCTACTAGTGTTCAAAGAAGTGTAGGGTTATGGAGTTAAGTAGGTCTTTGTACCCTGTGCATTAAAATTCTCCAGGTGGCACTGAGACACTTCTCACAATGGAGTCACATAGCTTTCACTTTGATTTGCTTCATCTTCATCTGCTTCTTCTCCAGTTTCTTCTGCTCACGCCGCAAAGCAGCTTCCTGTAGGCAAGGACAGAGAGATCTACATGAACATCAGTGATCTCAGCGAAAAGCAAGCTGATCATTTCAGAAAAGCCAAACAAAAAACACCTCCAGTACTTGGGCTCACATCTCTGACCACGTGAGCTGGCTCCTCAGTGGGAGCCTTCACGTTTCAGAAGGCAACAGCATAGACCCTGAAAGCTGTCAGCCTCCCAGCAAATAAGAAATCAAAGTTGGCCATACAGCGTAGGAGAAATCTGTAACAATCTGAAAATCCATCTCACCTCCAGCCGCCGCTGTTTTTCGGGATCCTCTTCATTCATGATTCGCTCCTTCTCTGCCCGTTTTTTCTCTTCTCGACGGGACTGGGCAGCCTCCTGCCTTTGCACGTGAGTCAGTTTAAGGAAGTTCTCTTCCACGCGAGCCCTGTTCTTATCAGCTTTTTGTTTACCCTTTTCACAGAGAAAAGCAAATGCTGTTAAATACACTGATTCCCCATGAGCAAGATGCAGTATCTCTGGTAGTCATACTAGAAACATAAGGCTCCCAATCTTAAGGATCCAGGGGTAATGGGTTGCAATTTCTTGCAATTTTCAGAAGACACAAAAATGCACACTACTTACTTCTCTGTTCAGACGGAACTTCTTTGCTTTGTCAATAGAGTAGATAACCATGCTCATCAGAGGCAGCAAAGACTCCATGTCCTTTGGGGAAGTGTTGCCTGAACCAGGCACTAAAATAAAGAGTTTCTTGTTAATTCAGAGAGGTTGGTAGGATTTTTCTACTTTCTCTACTGCTCTTATTGCTCGCAACATTCATGAAAGATGTTCTTATCTCCTCATTAGGAAGGATATAACTAACTAAAAGAGGCTTTGGACATTGCATTTAGATTCCTCACTCAGTGGAATTAGGCAGGCACATTTTCCCTGCAATCCTCCTTAGTTTTATTAGTACAGAATACAAACATAAGGGTTGAATTCAGGCTCTGACATAAGGTTCACTTTGGAGCTATGGCCTTGAATTTCAAAAAGAACTACGGGTCTTTCTTTTTCTTTTCTAGAACAGACTCCCAACAGGCTGCTTTTTTTTCCAAAACAGGGTTAACCAAGTAACTGTGCAAGCTCAAACTGCAAGGTATGTGGCTTAAAAACAAGTCATCTTCCAGTGGTGACTTAACTGAACCACCAATAGAGATGAGTATGAACTAGGATCAATAATAGCAAGACTGAGTATCCTATTGTCATGACGTGACATTCCCCAGTGTTATCCTGGTTAATTCATCAATGATCCTGTTCCATGCACTGAAGTCATTCCTCATATATTATATTCCATAGATGACAGAACTTGAGCATGTGAATTGCACAAATAAAGCACCCACTCCCCCCCATACACACATGTATACCAATTCTCTTACCATTAAATGTAAACAAAAGTGTCTTTTTAGTTTCGGGCAGTTTTGTAAGCTGACCCTCCCTGGTAGGAAAGAAAAAAGTGGCTGGAATGAGTGAAGAAAAACACAGGCATACAAAACACCTAACATTGTTAAGGAAAACCTCAAGAACCAAGAGACACTTGCAGACTACTCAAGTAAAATAAACAAGATTAAAAGCCTAGCTGTAACCCAAATTTAAGTTTCAAACTATTTAGACTCCTCAAAGACTATTTAGTCTTCCTCAAAAGCACACAGCAAAAAGGCATTGATGTAAAAACATACGGCACCATCCAGTCTGATTGTCAGAAGTCATCTGAGCCCTGAGGCAGCCTGTATATTTTTAATGGCACTCAGTTTTACATAGGCTTTGTTGTTTATACTACTACAGATCTTCTGTAAATATCAGTTAGAAAAAAAGCCCCAACATTTTCTAAAGCATTCAAGTCTTCACTGCCCCAAACCCCAGAGTATTCCAATGTAAGAAAGTCAGACCTGTTTCACAGATCCTCCAAAGCCTAGCAATTTCAGTACAAGGTACACATACTGCTGTCTTATATCAAAATATGTTCCTTTTTTTGGAGGGCAGTTTCATGTTTTGATATGGATCATTTATAAGCCTGTGAGCATAATACACCCTTGCAAAAGCCTACGTGGTAATTCAGAGAAGATAAATCGCCCACCACTTGGCAATTGTGAAGCAGCAGCTAAAAGCACCTCAAGACTAGGAGGCTTAGAGAAACAGAAGAGAGAACTGCATTTTTGTGTTTCTGAAGCACTGTTGAGAATCAGCCTGAACAAAAAGTACCCAAGTGATGGATTTCAACAGCACAGGGAGGTGCTAGCAGCCCTGATGATTGTTTTATGCTGCGGACTTTGCTCCACCTTGCTCTCAATGCATTCAAAGAGCATCTGAATTATTCTTTTTTCCGACCCCTAGTTTTCCTTCTGCATTGTTATTTCTTAGCCTCCATACCTTCAGTGTGATTGCTCAACGGTTTTCTATGCAACTGTGTACACTGTAGCTGCCCAAGCTATAGCTTAACCAGCACACAAAAGTAAATATTAAGGTAATACGGCACCTTGATCTTCTAAACTAATGCAGTATTTGGAGGCACTAGGTGTGTATTTATTCACCTGTTTCACCTTTTGCTCCTGATTTCTTGTGTGCATTCCCACAGGCTTCACACTGCAAACACATTTGTCAGCCTCTATTTTGCTTAGCGTTACAATAGCTACTGGAAGGAGAGATCTAGCTTTATACGTACTCTTGCATAAGTTTTGGACCGGAGAACTGGTCCGAGAATTGGACGGACTCAATCTTGTCAGCATAGTGCGTGAGGAAATGTATCATCTAAAAGAGAAACTGAGGTTAGTTTTTCCCAACACCAATCCATCTGCAGCCTACCCATTCCATATGGGCTTGCCAAAGTGTCGATATATTGCTCAGAAAAATGCTGTCCTCAGCTTGCCACAACGACACTGAAATTTAAACTGTCATGATTTTATTTTTTATAGCTTTTGCTAGAAGGGGGCCTCAACACATGGAATTAATGCAAGCGACTCAGTTATTAGATATGTAACTCTCATTTGTGATTTTCCAATTCATTTGATAACAGATGTCAACTTTGATGGCATGTCTGCAGGTCCTCAACACCCTCCTTCGACCTGGCTGCTGAAGCAAGCTTCCAGGCTTTGAAAGGCAGCTTTAAGGCTGCAGTTCATGTTAGACTACCTAGTTGCTTTGTAAGAGGAATAGAGGTGTGAGAATTACATTCTTCCTCCAACCCTTAAGCTTCCCTAGGGTCTTGATTTCTCTAGATCTCACTAAGGCCATTTGGCTCTCCTGTTGAGATGTCTACAGGAAATAATGATTCAAACTTTTTTGCATAGGCTGTAAGTGCCAGATGTGTACTAATTAATTCAGGATTACCTTAGCGTCCATCATTCCCTCTGTGACCTCCCCCATCTCCGACAAGATAGCCAGCGAATCTGGAAGCCCGTATTTTGCACCAGACTTAGGTTTATCACTGCAGAACTCACTCTGTTTCAAAGAGAACAAGGGGAAAGAAATGAACACAAGCTCGTAAGTATCTTATCAGACTGAACTGTTCCAGCACAGTGGGACTGCTGAAAGTATCTGATAAGAAACAATAAAAATACACTAATGCAGTCACTCAAGTCTGGCTGGAGACATTTCAAGCATAAAGTAAAGCATGCAGTATCAATATTCTTTAAGTTAGTATTTCCCTTCAATAGTAAGTACTTAAAGAAAAAGATAAAACAATTGTAATACATCCATGCTGGAATGCTCAAAGTGCATTAAGGCATTTTGCTTATATTGTTTAATAACAGAACAAAACAACTGGCATCATACCAGCCACACTTCAACGCTGTTACTCAAGACAAGTTATGAGAGAAAAGCTTTGCAAACCACTGCTTGTTACCACTGGATTCTTTGCAAGCTTCAGGGCTTGAACATATGGGAAGTTTTAATTTCAGATCACAAGAAAGCAGATGACTTACACCCAAACTTTCCACATCACATATCACTAATTAAGTTTACTTTTCAAGCCTTGAAATAGTCAGTTGTGCAAATTAAATGATGTTAAGTGACCCTTGTGTGTATCCTGACAGTATACTTCAGCCTCCTCCTAAATGAGCTAGCCACCATTTTTATTAGATGAAAATGTCTTTTCCCCACACAGTAATTCCAACAGGCCAGTCACAAGTTTTGAGCCGTTCCCAAGAAAACAAGCTATCTACAGACTAGAGGTTCTTATTATATCCTCTTATTTATCACATTAGTATTCCCAATGCAAACATACATACCAGGTCCTGCATCTCTTTCTGAAGTCGCACCAGTGCTTTTCTTGTTCCAACAGCAAACACATAGGTGTCCATATCTTCATCATTCATTGTTACTTTTATTTGCTGTGGGACAGAATGTTATTAGCCCTGATCAGATTTATACGATGTACTCTGCCTTCAGACTACCAGCCAAACAGAGACCTGCGTCTCCGATGACTTCACTGTTTGTCTGACACTGACTAAGCAAGGCCATACACAGCTAAGATAAAGGTTATTGATTTAAATTCTAGATAAATGGAAAGAGTATTCACAGCACACAGCCACTGTTCTTCCAAAATATAACCTCTCCTGGCGTTTATATGGTTAGAGACTCCCCTTATCTCCAAGGGCAAGGGCCAGGCAAAAAAGTAAAGTTACAAAATATAATATCCAGGCCAGCATATGCATTAAGCAGCTTTGTTCAGGCAGACTGAACAGACAGAACAATCATCAAATATTTCAGATCATAAATCCACTTTTTATCAAGATGAGATCATGAAGCACAATAGACTGTCCACAAAACCACTCAAACAATAAAACCCATAGATAAAACAATTTCCAATCATCAGCAGTTTGCATTTCGCAGGCAGAAAATAAATATGAGTTATTCTTTCAGATTGCTTCACCAGTTACTCAACTAGAAGATATGGAATACTGTAGAAAGACACCTAGCAGTTCACTGGTGACCAACCAAAAGCAGCAGAGCAGAACCTAGCAATGCAACAATTTATCACAGCTAATGTAGAGGGTTAAGTACGTACCACTTGGTCAGAAGCTGGCCTCATCATGCGCGCAAGAACATTCAGTAGGTCTTGTCTCTTGAGAAACTAAAAATACAAGTTTGTAAACACAGAAGACAACAGCTAAATACACCTCAAGTGCAGCACTTCAGTGGCAGATAGCAGTGGGCTCAAGGAAAAAGAGGACAGTTATACATAGATGCTTTTCATAGAAGAATTTAGCTCTGAAGGGCCCTTTGGAAGTCACCTATACTGCTCAAAGGCAGGGCTACTTTCTGTATTAGGTGTATTTCTCAGGGCTTTGTTCCCTCAAGTTAGGAGCTGAACATGAGGCTGTTCCACCTCAGATGCAGAGCTTTGCATTTGTCTGTTGTACTTCACTGGAATTCCTATTGGGCCATTCCTCCAACATGCTAAAATCCCTCTAAATGGCAGCTGGCCTCTTTAGCATCCTCTGTTTATGCCATACTTCTGGTTTCTATACTCTTCCTGTAAGCATTCCCTCTTACCTACTTTGGTGGTCGGAATACAGGCCTGTACAGCTCTTTAGTGCAACCAGTCTTCCCTTCATGTGTGCATATTCAGAACCCTGCCTTCAAATATGAGTGGAAGAGTCGAGCTGGGCCTCCTTGTTGCTCACACAGGAATAAGAAAGCCTCTAGAGCCTGAGAACTGGTGACAGGTAAATAGTGCTACAAACTCCCTCATCCTTACCTTTAGCTGGATGAGCATTCCTTCACAGCACACCCTTCCAGAGCACCACAAGTTATATATGTGTTCGTTCTCTTGATTTAGTTTCCCAGTGCTTGTAGCTTCTTTATTAGTGCCATCATCCCCTGAAGAAAACAACAGTGAAAGAGAACTGCTGTATAAAAATCACAAATTTAAACACCAAAGTTCATCGGTAGGCTTAAAGCTCAGTTGTTCCTGGATTACTTCATTATCACTGTGATGTTTCTGAATAATTTATACTACATCATAATCTGATTTCAGCACCGACACACTATTTATCTACACACAGAGCTGTCATTAGTGCTATCATGCATCTGCATAGAAAAGGTTATTCTCCTAGAAAAAGTTAATCTTTATAGCCTACGTGCAGGTCTAAACCCAGCTTTATTCAAATAAACTAAAAATGGATCCTAGCCATTATGGAACTTACCAACAAGAGCAAAGTTACTTTCCAACAGCTCCCTGTGAGTATTGAACCATGCGTGAGCCAGACGGTTGTTTTTGTTCTTCCCAATGATGTAATTCATGATGTAAGCAAGAAGACCTGTTACCATCAGGATCTCCATGTAATAACTTTCCCAGCTGTTTTGAAGGTGAGCGGGGACCTATGGTAAGGGAACGGAGACTGTCCTTTACAGCTCAAATGAGCGGATCCCAGATAAACAAACAATTTGGAAAGCGATGAGTACTGGAGAAGTTCATCCCAAACACAGCAATAAGCTTCACAAAGGCGACAGAGCAGAGCTAAGCCTACATAATGCATTTGGCTCTACTGGGACAAAGTAGTCAGAGGAAACAACTGGTAACAGCATTCCCAAAATACCTGGATAATACAAACAAAATACTTCTCTCTGGAAGAGAGGCTTTCACTTGGAAAGTGAGCCTGTGCTAGCATGTATCCCTCCAAGTACTCAACAGTCCAGTATTTCAACCCACTGATTATTTGAGCTTGGCGCCTTGCCCATCCAAGCATTATCTGATCCTTTTGTATCTTCTGTTGAAATCTAAAGTAATACCAATGTCCAGGAGCACTTTCAAGATGCCACCAAGAGCCACAGACTGCATGGGAGAGCAGGGAAGCCTGGCTGACTGTGCCATCTTCAGAGAATAAAGAGCAGTTCTGCTATCACTATATCACTCTTCAGTCATAAAAGTACCAAACCTTAATATGCACTACCAAGGTCAGCCATAATACATAAAAAGAGAGCTTACAGATAATAAAAACGCAGGCCTCAACCACCTGATCATTCTGTAAAAGACAACAAGAAGGTGCTGCAGGGTGGACAGAGAGACTGGCTTCAAAAACCATCATAGTCAGCTTCTAATCTGAAACTTTAGCCATAGACAAGCTAAAACCACACTATATTTATTGGAAGCATATCATCATTGCAACCACTTCTTTATGTGTTGACAAAGCACCCAGGCATTCTGGGATGTATGGTTTTTTCTCTGGATTAAACGAAGATTGTCACTCTAGCCTCTCCACTTCTCCTAAAGAAGCTAGGGTCATAAAACCCTTTGGTCAAAACTACATTTCAAAAGGTCTGTTTTAATGAAGACTTTCCTGATCTATACTCCAATTACAGTTTTCGGTTTGAATACAGAATACAGCCCTCATCCGAGGATGGGAATTCTAGCAGCTTAAAATAGAGATCAACAGAACAAAGGCACCTGCCCGGAAAGTTTTACTTCAAGAGTTGCTATTTAAAGTAGCATAAACCAATACAGAAGAGCATGGAATTGGGAGCTTGCACACCTAGACCATATTCTGCTGCTATCCTGTTGCATTATTTCAGGTACTTCTTGTCTCCAGACTTCTTCCCATTTCTACGCTGTCTCTTGTTAATTCTTTAGGACAGATTCTCTCCTACGTGTACATTTGTACACCAGTGACATTATTGACATACCGCCTTAAAAAGAAATGATGAAACGTCAAATAGAAAGCAGATCAATATTTATACCTACATTAACTATTGTTATGGGGTCTTTATTTTTGCTAGGAGAGGCATCTGGTTTCTCTTCATAGCCTTCAAACTCCTCATCATCATACGGCTCACTCTCAGTATCACCTTCCTGGAGGACAAAAATCACAAACAGCATGAAAATCCAAAGCCTGATAAGCAAAATCCCAAAAGATAAGGTGAGAAAGTAATGTGTAGAGATACTATTGAGAAACACAGAGGAAGGAGATGAGGCATTACCTGCACATCTGCATCATCAAAGTCTTCCTGATTCTCATCCTGACCTTCAAGCTCTACAGTGGCTTCTTCTTCATCATCTTCTGTAGTGATGATCCTCTGAGGAGACTCTGTGACTGCATCTTCACTAACATCTTCAAATTCAGCGAAGTCATTATCATCATATTCCATGTCATCTCCATCCTCAAATTCATCATACTTTGCCAAAGAAAAACTCCATGGGATGAACAGGACAGCAATAAAAATATATAAATTCTTCATTTTCACTGGGGGAAAAAAAAAGGCAAAAATTGCAAAAAATCCTTCTCAATTCTGTTACCTTACACCTCCAGAAATGCCCAGCTTCTATGGACAGAATGCATTCAGGGTCAGACCACAGAGAAATAAACCCCTGCCTGCTCTTGCCATCTTCTGTATAAAGAAAGTGAATCATCTTATAAAAAAAATAGCAGTAACTCTGAAGTTCTAGACTCTTGCAGCAGAAGCAACTGAGGCAGCAGTAAGTTCACACTTGGCCAAGCTGTTCAGATGAGCAAGCTCTGAAAGCAGAGATTTTCTGCTATGAAACAGACTCTCCAATAGTATCTCTCAATCAGTGTTGCCAGCTCATTTCAAAGACCACATGCTGTGCCTACAGTTGTTATTAATTAGCAATTAGACACAGATCAACAACAGTAGTAAATCTTAAAATGCGCTTAGTTCATTTACTTTAAACAGCAACGCTCTACTAGCCTCTGTGAGTTTAAAAGGGCCCATCTTTGATTTTCTAAACTGGATGCCCAAAATCAGGTCCTACAGCATCCCAGCACTATTTCTGTTTAGAGATACACCTTGTGTTGCAAGGTCTACTAAAAAAACCCACCCCAAAACAGCAGGAAGAGGATGGATGTTGCACTGATCCCCAAACAAGAGTGAACTGGGGCTCAGGAGACCAAAGCTCTCTCTCCAGGTCTGCCAGAAACCTGCAGTTTCTCAGCTCACCTTTTTTTACCCTCAGCTTCCTATGTTTTTTCTGCTTGATCTCAAAGCAGCCCCATCTCCCGCTGAGGCTGTGGGGACCATTGCCAGGGTTCAAACGAAGAGCCTGAAAAGGCAACGACAACCCCACTGCTGCATTTCTCAAACAGCTGCTGAGGATCGGCTGTGTCAGGCTTGGCAGTAAGAATCATTTTACTCCCTCCTGCAACCAGATCCGAGTGGGAACTTGAATGTTAATGAGATCATTCTCTTAAAAACTTGAAATAGAAACGATTTATTTCTAAATTAGACCAGCACTCCTCTGAGTGCCACATGCAGGGAACCCACTGCCTCGAATGACAAGGACGGCTAAAATAAATGCCTTTGTCAAAAGCTTCTCATTCTAGGAAAAACCTGAACAGAACATGTTCCCAAGAGCATTAACCAAGATGGAAAGTACAGCATGGCAGAGCCCAGGCATTTAGCACTTTGGGTATGTCACAATTTTATGCAAATTTAAACACAAAACCAAACCACTATTTACATGTGACAGGATTTGCATTTAGAGGTTAAAAACACCACGACAACGGTGCCACCTGCTCACCTAAACCACAGCAGTTTCACAATAAGACTTTTGAGACTATTTTAATATATGCAGTTTCGCAAGACCCTACGACTCCATAAGGCTTTATGCAAAATAAACTTCTGCAGCCGATTCAGAAGAGAAGCTGAACTAGAGATGGGTGAAAACCAGAACACGCCGCTAACTCGGCACCTCTGTCACAAGGCAGAATGGGTGCTAAGTGCAAACCACCCCAGGAGGCAGCACACATTTGGCACATGCCACCGGCTGTCCCTTGCAAGAGGAGCCGATTGAGCCACCCAGGCAAAAGGGGCGGAAGAGGCCGCCAGGCTCCAGCAGGTCTGGACCCCCCGTGCCCCACCAGCCTAAGCCAGGAAATCCCCCCCGCAGGTGCTGCTCGGCGTCCCGATCCCCTGGCTCCCGGTACACGCCTCCGCTCCCACTTCCTTCCAGGGACACAAGTCAAGGTTAGCGAGGCTAAAATCCGCTCCCTGCTTCCCCACGGCCGCGAGGCGTGGCCCCTCGCCCCACACGCCCGGCTCCCCACAGC